TCTAGGTTGCACACCCCCACTTCTGCTGGGTTACAGGGCAACGCAGCTCACCCCAGCTCCGACCAGCGTCATCCCGGCAGCATCCTTTGGTTGTCCCGTGGATAGTCCCCCCCAAGACTTCCCCAGATCTCTCTACCAGACCTCACACTCCTGCATCGCAGGTTACAGGGCAATACCCCAGCACCGGTCAGCGTCGTTCTGGCATCGAACAACCACAGATCACTGAGTATAACAGCGTTGAAACCACCTAGGAAGAGTTAGCAAGGACCCCAAAATCCTAAAAAAACATTCCTGGGCCCGCTAAGCACCCAACTCTTTTTGGGACATTCGAAATTCTTTAGAAATTTATAAGGGCGGCAGGGGAAAGACTAAAACTACCTACTATCCAAAATTCCCCCTTCCAAAAGATGGAGCGTCGGTCCAAGCTTTCAGTCTCGTACCAGAACTCACTTGATCTCATACCCCCTTCTGCTAGGGTAACAGGGCACCACAACCCTCCCCAGTACCGATCAACCTAGTTTTGACGGACAGGAAGTGTCTTCCTCCCTCGACAATTCCCTTAGCGGCAAGCCCCTATACAGGTTACAGGGTCAATACCCCGGCGCCAACTACGTCGGACGATCTGGTTATGCCTTCCACCCTCGGAATAACTTCCCAAGCCTCAAGCTCCCCCTGGGTTACAGAGCAGTGGCTCCAGCACTGGCCTGTGTAGTCCCAACGCCGTCCTTCTAACCTACTTACCCCGCCAAACAACCCTTTCTGTTGAAAATCCCTTGCTACCTTCCTTCTTTCGAATCTAGCTTCCCCCTCCTCGGCTCACTGTGTAGCCATCGAAGTCACTCCTTCCCTAAAAAACAAAATCCCAACACACTGCTATAAGCAGCCACCCCCTTGCCTTCTCTCCCCACCCGCCAGTACCGATCCGACCCTAAATCAGTCTGGCTAAGAGAAAACAATCCCCCAATACCGCCTCCCCCCTCCAAGAATAACACCTCCCACCTTGTGAAACCCTCACGGGGGGAGGCTCCAGCCCTCAAGGAAAAAACAAAAAAAAACAAACAAAAAAAAGGGGTGGGGGTAGGGGAACAGTTGCAGTGAGGGGGGTGTCCAAGGGGAGAGGAGGGGGTGAGTCAAGGGTAAGGGGGGGTGGGGAGTCTAGACGCAAGGGGGGTATGGGGGGTATGGGGTCAGGGATGAGGGGGGGTCTCCTGACGGGGTAGGTGAGTGCCATTCGGGAGGGGGGCAGCTCAGGGAAGGGGGGCGACAAGCCTGGGAGATGGGGGGGAGAGAGGGGTTAGGAGGAGACTCGGAGTGGCAGTGGGGGGGAGGACTGCTGGTATGGGTGAGGCCTTTGATGTGTCGGGTGGGATATTGGAGGGGAAAGGGGGCCGTGGTTCAGGAGGGGGTGCTTTCACGAGTTGTTTCGCCTTGCCTTAGGGCCTCGCTCCACTACGCATGGAATGTGTGCAAAATGAATATGAATCTTTCATAGAACATGGGAAGATACACGACCATATTTCTCGTCTTGTGTGCATGTGGTGAGTAGTGGAGCCAGGTGTAATCGTTAGTGTACCCGTCCATTGGGTAACGTGCACCCGTCCATTAGCTAACGTGTACCCGCAGAGGCAGTGGGGCAATGACTTCTCTACAATAAAGTTCAGTCAACCCGCGCACAGTGCAGCAAGGTTGGCTGGCGAATGCAGTGCACCCCATGCAACAGAGCAGCCATGACGCAACTCTCGGAACCGAATGAGTGGAGAGAGCGCGACTTGACTCTCTCCGTAGCCGGTTGCTTCCTCTCATCACTGCGAGTCAGCCTGGGGTTCCGGTGTTCCTGTATGGTTACTTAAACCTGGTCTGCATGTTGTCAATGAACCTGGTTTGGATGTTGTCCACAACTCCACGTACGTGATGCTTCCCTCCCCTGCAGTCCAGTAGTGTCCTTTCGGGGTGCATTTTCAACTGCGGACGGTTTCTAAAGCCCTGTTTGAATACAAGTGCGTAGCAGGCCGACCTATCGTTTTTGGGTTGGGTGTGAACAAGCCCCATTCAAATACAAGTGGATAGCAAGCTGACCTATTATTTTTTCTTTCTTTTCGGGGGGCGGGGGGGGGGGGGGCGGGGGGCGCATCTGAGTGGCAAAGCCTGCAATGTGTTAACCACTTCTCTCTGAGGATGATACGAGCACAACCCGGATTGAGGTTTTGCTCAGTTAATGCCTCCGATCTATTGGTGGGGAGCAACACCTGCTGGAAAAGGGGTCCAGCGTCCCATGGTTAATATAGTTGGAGAAAGTGTCAGATCTCATGCTGGGAACCCGGTCCAGCATCCCATGAAGTGCCTGAAAGAACGAAATTTTGCATTTGATACCTCTATTTTATGAAGGATGGAGATAACAAAGCAGACCTCTCAGCCTTGGCTGGCTGTCAGATGAATCAATCATACCTAGTCTGGAAAGAAAAGAACACCTCCAAATTTTATCACAGAATGATGCAAATTTCTAGAACACTAACAAACTGCTACTACCAAAAACGGATTATCAATTGACTAGGCTAACCTCCTATATCGAGTCAATATCCTCAAATCTTACAATAACTGCCTGAAGTCTTAAAGGCTGAAGCAAGCACATCCCATCTTTACAAAGAAAACCATAGGTAAATCGGCCTTCCCTCTGAGACCCTAAAGTTGGACCTCACCGAACTACTGGAAAATGAGTCCAGCGTCCCAACCTCTGAAAATTGCGCTATATATCCCTATTATCCCCTAGACTCATTCCGGCTTAAGAAACCGGTCCAAAGATGAACTCTTTGTCATCAAACAACACCTCAAGTGAAGGAACTAGCTACATGCCCCTCTCTCAAAGGGCCTGTATTAACCGTCTTCAAGTTGAAATTACTAGCTAAGCCTTCCTATCTAAAATTACTACTACCAACCGATCATCTCTTGCCCACTGGCAGGTCTTCAAGAACCAGTGCAGCCTGCTAGCCTGTAGTTGGATTGTTTTTGGAACTCCCCACCTATCTGCAACTGTTGCAATGGAGGGTCTAATCTTCAATTTGATTTGTGAGGTTATTTGATGAAAGGGAAGCCTTAGGTCAGACTTTCAAGTTCAACATAATTTGGCATTTTGAGCTGTTCAAATCCCTCCCATTATTTGTGCGGTTATTTGATGAAAAGGAAGGTCGACCTTTCAACATAATTTGGGACAGGCTAGTGTATATATTGGGCAACGCAAGAGGTCCGATGCTCGAGACCTGGCCGCGCAGATGGGTTTAAAGCTACAACTGCTCCGAACTGTGGGATCCTGCCATTGTGGCTGCCGCATAAGAGGCTGCCCCCCTGTGGCGTGATATCTGCCATTGCTTTGTGTGGGTTGTTGGAGAGCATCGTTTGCAGCCCCTCTTGGGTTATGCGGGCTCATGGGGGGATGGGACGAGGGAAGGGGTGGGCTCAGTGGAGAGAGTAAGAGGAGGGGATGCTAGGGGGTTGTCATTCCCTAACTGGCCTACGACAGTCTCCTTTTTTTTTTTTTTTTTTTTTTTTTTTTTTTTTTTTTTTTTTAAACAAAGCTCCATCTATTGGTGGGGAGCAACACCTGCTGGAAACCGGGTCCAGCGTCCCATAGACACAACCATATCCTCACATATTGGCACAAACTGGGAACTGGGCCCAGCGTTCCATCATGAGTACATTCAGACAGCTCATCAGGAAATTTCATGGAAATGAGACTAGGAACCTACCTTGAGGCCAAAAATATGCGGATTCATTCCAATCAATAAAAATGAGTGATCATCTTCTATAGCACCGCCCTTCCATTGGATGGAGAGTGAAAGGTGCAGGGCGCTGCAGACCCCTTATGCTATCATTGTTTATGATATTATCGAGGACTTCCAACTGGATCACAAAAATTATAAGGGGGCCAAAGGATATCCTTGCATTAGAGAACGTGTAAGGGGAAATTTTTCAGAAAGCTTACTGTTGACGAGGACCATCGACGAGGCTTTTGTGTATAATACTCAGACCCAACTGCAGAAGCCCCTCCTAAGTTTCATTTTCGTAAAGGTAGTAAAAACAAATGGCCAACCAACTTTATTGTGTGCCTTTTCTATATCTAGCAACAAAATAGCTACCTCTCTTTTCTCCTCTCCTTACCCACCACTTCCAAGGTTTGGATTGTTGTGAAATATTGTCAAAAATGGAACACCTTTCCACAAAGGTGCCCTGTTCCCACCCGATCAAGTCAAGGAGGAAGTTGGGAGCCTGATGGCAAGGGTTTAAGCTAGGATCTTGAACGCCACATTGACGACTGAGATGGGGTGGTAGTTACATACCTCTCTCTTCTCCCCTTTTTTATATAGTAAAGATATATACACCTTTGCTCCAACTTTTGTGAAGAAACTGCCATTTCGTCAAAATGGACATCTTTTATTTTTTGAACGAAATTGAAACCGAGTTTTTTGGCCGAAAGCTCGCCGAAATTTGTTGTTCCTGAGGGTCCGGCGTTTGTAAAACGCCGGACCCGCAGGAACAACAAATTTTGAAGATTTTTTGGCCAAAAAACTCAGTTTCAATTTCGTTCGAAAAATAAAAAATGTCCACTTTGACGAAATGGTCGTTAAGAGGGTCGGATAGCAAAACACTACTATAAACTTGTGTGAAAAAAGGGCGAATGCGTCCTAACTGCTCAAGAACAATTCAACTTGGAGACCACCTTGCCCTGGACATTTCCAGAGTGCTATACATTGAATAGCCCGACGTATTTTCTCTTTTTTTTTTTTTTTTTTTTGAAAAAACAACCCGTTCGAATGCTAGAGGTGCTGATAAGAGCAGACACCGCTAGCATGGTCGGGAAAGGCTCCATCTATTGGTGGGGAGCAACACCTGCTGGAAATCGGGTCCAGCGTCCCTGTAAACACACATTTGTCATGAACCGTGCCACGTGTCACAGCGTAGAGACCCTAAACCGTTGGTATATCAACACGTACGCACGCAGTATTCAACGCGAAGAGCAGCATTAACCACCCTCTGCCCATCGCAATCTAAGGAAGTTACTCTCCCTATTCTGAAACCCTCAACATCTCTCGTAGAGAAGCTTGCAGCACAATGAAGGGGAGGGGGAAAGAGAACAGGGAGCTAGAGAAACTATTATAGCGAATCCCGGCTTCCAGAGTCATCAATAACACACCCGGACTGCCCTAAGCGCTTAGCAGCCCTATTCCTCCTATGGTGCCACGTGGCAGAATTACAACACGAACCGAAATGAAAACCACCACGTGGCAACACGTCATACACGCCGGAATCGCGGGTTATGCATACCAGGTTCAAATCATCAGTCACTCGCAGCGAGCGGAAGATACTATGAAGGTGCTGCCAAAGCCTGAACTCGTATCCCACCCTGAAATGCTCTTCCACCACCCAAAGACGATTGCGCAGCATGTGCAGAAGGGGCATTCAGAACAGGCTTCCCAAAAGCCAGAAGCCTACTAACCACGTGGCGAAACCCAAATGATAAAAAAAAACAAAAAAAAMMAAAAAAAACACCGCGCCACCTCCCGCCGACACTTCTTGTCCCCGCCACGTGTCAAGAAGCCAGACATCACGTTTGCAGTCAAGAGGTTAGGCCGTGGCCAGAGCCGCCCTATCACCACGTGGCAACTAACAGATGTGACAAGAGCATCCTCTAACTAACCCACCCCCTCACGCACCCATCCCACCCCCAACTGTCCCCCATGCCCTCCCAATATGCTGAACGGACCATTCAAACAGCCCCTTCCCCCTCCCCCCGGATCGTCAACACGATTGCGAGAGAGAGAGGACGGCGGGGGAGAGAAGGAGCGGTGGGTGAGAACCGAGACCCCTGCCACACTTACCAGACCGCTATCATCAGCATTGTTGACATTGTTTTTGTCGTTGCTGCTGTTGTTGTAAGTGTCGTCGCTGTTGTTGCTGTTAATGTTGTTGTAATTCGGCCTGCACGAACGCACGATTTCCACGCTTATACCAGTGTCGTGCTCAACCATTACAGTGTCGCCAATGCCCACGACCCCCACATCGTGGTTGCTGTTGCTGTTGCTGTTGTTATTGTTGTTGTTGTTGTTATTGTTGTTGTTGTTGTTGTTGTTGTTGCCCCTGTTTTTGTTGATATTGGTATTGTTGTTGTTGTCATCGGCCACAGAGTCAAAGAGAGCAATATCGCCCGCTTTAAGGTGATCGTCACCGCCATCATCATCAGCACATTCATTATCGTCGTCGTTGTTGTGGCCGTCGGTGTTGTGGATATAATTGCAATTTGCAGGCGATGTGATTGCTATCTGTGTTGAAATCAATGTTGGCATAACCACTGAGCGTGCTCACGTCGTTGTCGCACTCCACCAGTTCGGCGCGGGAACCCTGCACCTCCTCAAGCCTCCCACGACGAATTACTACCTCTGCCTCGCACGAACGATCCTGCAACATAGCACGCAGCACCTGCCCCTCCTCAGGCCCCGCGCAGCAGCATCCTTTCGCATCATCGCACCTTACACTCCCATACAGCCCCTCCCTAAGATCATCAAAGATTCCCTTCACTTTCGTCAGCAGTACAGCACAACCACCCAATTCCGCCTTCACCTGCTCTTTTTCAATCGCGCCGAGCCGTTGGGATGAGAGATCTGCATGGAGCTCCTCCTCCCAACCACTGATCAGCTCCTCACCCTCCTCGGGAAGATCAGCCGGTAGATTGTGTCGATGTTGGATGAGCGCAGTATAGATCTCCTCCATCTGTCGCTTATGCAGCCGCACAATCTCCAGCGCGGCTCCTCTCCAAGCACGGCAGCAGCCATAGCATCTTGCATGGACGCTGCCTCTATCGCCATCTGCGCCGCCCATGTAGCCATAGTCTTGCTGTTACTGTTATCTTATTCTATTGTCGAAGCCGCTCCCCGAACAACCGCGCCACGCCTTTACTCAAAGCTTGATTTCTTCACGCCGACGTCCCCTAAAACTGCACGTGGAAAAGCCCACCTACGCCCAGGCCGAAGCACCGGACGGGCAGCAGGATGGCCAAGCGCAGTGATGGCACAACATCACCATCCCTGCGCCAGTCCACGGAGTGCGGCCGGGCCTTGCCGGCCGGTCCCCAGCGCAGATTAGCGTTGGGATTTTCTCTAAATAAGACAAAGGGGCGTCTTTGAAAGAACAGACAAACATGGTACCACCATAGGTTAAGTCCTAGAGTCTCAGAGTTTTTCAAATGTGGAATGGAAGGTGATGTTTGCAGGGTTGATAAAACAACCGGCTCTAAGCTAAACCGACTGATGCTGTCGGGATAACTCCGGGTTGAATTGTGAGGTCCCCGGCCTCAAATCCTTCTTTTATAATGAGATCGGAATTCATGCGGAAAAAAAAAAAAAAAAAAAAAAAAGAATGACTCTAGTTCCGTCCCAAAAGTTTGAAACTCGGGAGAGGTCATTGTCAACCATGTCGTTGGGTCTCCTTAAAGTGACAAATTTAAAGCATAGGAGCACATACGCTCAATGTCTGGCGGCAAATGGACACTTGATACGAAAGGGTTAACTTAGTCTAACTCTCTTATCCGGGGCTCGTTTTGGCTTGAAATTGGGGACCTGAATGTGTTTTTTGTCGTTTTGTCATAACTGACTACCCCTATCGATTTCAACCACTCTAATCAGTTCTGTTGTGTCTTTTTTTTTTTTTTTTTTTTTTTTTTTGACTTGAAAATTTTAGAACTATTACCAATACCTCTTCACCTCCTCCAGGAGGGCGGCATCCGCTCTTGTACGGCCTTGTGTCATCAAGAATAAAAAATATCGTACAGCCAGTTACTACCCTTGAATCTATTCTTTTTCCAAAAATTCTGAAACTAAAACAAAAAAAACAGTAATCACTTACTCCAAAGTTCCAAACCATACTCATTCTGAAGAACCAGACTCAAGGATGATGGTGGAAAAGAGTCTGGGAAATCAGAGAGGGGACGAAACGGGATGGAGGGTTCGCGTGTCTACAATGAAAGAGAATTATAGGTTGGATTTGTTTTGGGTCACACCAGTCATTTGATTCCACACACCACATGTCACCAATCCCTAGGATCCCTCTTTTCACCCATCCCCTCCCATGGTGAGTCCAAGCAATGTAGAGTATGCCCTTGAGAATCCTTGATCCATCTATTATTGAAAAGGAGTTGTTGGCATACCTTCTCCCATCTCTTTGGAGGACATTTGTCTGGGAGAGGTAACTTGTGTCATGTTTTAACCAGGTTAGGACAGAAAGGGTGATTCTTTATATCTGCCCTTTCGGCCATCCTATATGAAATTACCCGATTGTTTGCTACTTGTGAGCGTCTCTATGGAATGAACCAGTGACGGTTCTCTAATCATACCATAAGGTGTGTGCCCTCGGGGACTCTGACGCAGGTCTTGCAATCTCTTCTCAGGCCAGCTCTTGCCACAGTGTGTGTGGGTTGAAAAACAACCTTTTCAATTGATCCATTGGATGGATAGTGTCAATGTATGTGCGTTTGGGTCCAGGATACCCAATCCAACCTTTGATTTAGGTTGGATTACCACCAGCCAAGCTACCCTGCAGGATTATTTTCTAATTGTTTTTTTTTTCTTTTTTTTTAGGCACCTACCATCAAGAAGAGGTCGTCAGCAAACAAAAAACATATTGGGATGACCTCCTCTACAATGAAAGCAACCTTTTTTTTTTTTTTTTTTTTTTTACAATTGCTCCAATCTCTTCGTGTGGAGCAGCATGTGCTGGGAACCGGGCCCAGTGTCCCTTATAACTGGAATACATTGATGATTAATGAAAATTTGGGATGATTCAGGAACCTGTAGGATGATTGAGATAATAAGCTAGAGATTGATGCTGACTACTCAGAATGCGTATCTACTCAGATCTCACATACTACCCTATAGGCTTACCCTTATCTCCGATATTCATACTAACCAGCCAGTCTCTGCTGAGTCAATATTGTATACCAACCTAGCCTCTACCTGATCTCACACCCCAATCTAGCTAGGTTACAGGGCAGCGCCACCCACCCCAGTGCCGACCCTTGTCGGCCAGATTGTAGCCTTCGATCAAGTATTGTAATTGCCTTCCACCCTCAGCAATCCCCAGATCTCTATCCAAGGCTTCAAGCTCCTTATGAAGGTTACAGGGCGATGCCCCAACACCGGCCAGCGTCGTTCTGATTTCCACTCAACCTGGGCAAGAACACAATAAAAACTCAATTAGGAAATCAGCTAGACTAGAATGTAACCTAAGAATTCGGATCTGATAATAGTGAGATCCAAGAGCAAACAACCAATCTGATGATGATGCTGATGATGTTGATGATGATTATACTTGATGTTGATTGACCCTCCCTAGTCCACCCCTCCTCTTTTCCCCTCTTACCACCCCTCCTCTCCCTTGCTGCCTCCACTACTCAGAACCACTCTGTTGTTGAGCGGTTCCTCACAGCCCCAGCAATAGGAAAGCCTCCCTCTACCCTACTCCCCTCAAAGAAGGTTATTCCCCCCAAAAGCCTACCTCAAGCTATCTCTGTCCTACTCTGCCACCGCTAGTAGATGATGTTCCGCCTTCCATCTCTCTCAGCCCCAGAGTTAGACAGTCCCCCTTGTCTGCCCTTATTCCCTATCGGCAAACACTTCCCACCTTGTGTTTCCCCTGCAGAAAAGAGCTCTCCCCACTCAATCCTATCTGCCCTCCACGTCAACAACCTTGTGGGGAGGATTTTCCCAACCTCAAGTATAGAAAAGAACATAGAAATAAGAATTGAGAAGTTAATGGTGGTGATGTGATGATGATGATGATGATGATGATGATGATTGATGAACTAATGAGAATGAATAATTTTTTCTTCCCCCCCCCCTACTTTTCACGCTGACACTTCGCTGCCTCCGCTGAACAGAAGTGCCCTGATCAAGAGTAGTCCTCATCAGCCCCAGCTAGAGTCAGACCCACTCCTCCCATTCTCCCTACAAGGCATACAGTTCCCCCAAAAGTATGCCTCGATCAAACCTTTGCCCCTATCTGCGACCACTGGGATGTAATCGCAGCCCCAGATTGTGATGCCCCTGCAGAGGAAGGCTCTCCCCCAACTTACCATCTCACCAGAACCAAAACATTAGTTAATGAAGGGAGAGTTAGAAAAGAGGAAAGAAAACTCCATGAAGATGACAAGTGATCATGATGACGAGTAGTGCCCAAAGATGAAGAGACTAACAAATAGGTCAATGAGAAGAAGCAGTGCGGTGATGAGGAAGACCCACCGCACCCTGATGATGTCAACAACCAATGTGAAGATGGCAAGAAGCGCCATGATGTGGAATGATTGATTTTACGACGTCGTAGAAGAGCGCGATGATGATGGCAGTGTACTGCGCAATGAATATATATATATAAATATTTTTATCGCCATTGAGCTATTGACCGCACAACAACATCATGATGATGAAGATGATGACGATGACGATTACACCCATTGACCAGTGATGATGATGGCATCGTAGGGAACAAAAATGTTGATGAAGATAATAACCGTCCAATATCAATACTGAGATGATGATAACCTGCAAGAGACATGACAATCAATAGAACAAGGAAACAACCTGATGAAGAGCAACTCCCCTAATGATGACCCCCCTAATGAAGAGCAGCTCCCCTAATGATGACCTCCCTGATGAAGAGCAACTCCCTTAATGATGACCTCCCTGGTGAAGAACAGCTGCATCCCAGATGATGACCTCCCTGCTGATAATGATGGGCAGCGTTGTGATGATGCTGACGAATAGCTCCCCGATGATCACCCTCCACACACTCCAATCGTATGATAACCCTCGCACTTTGGTTAACCAAGGGCTGACTCCACCCTACTCCACCGGCGTCAACGTAGCCAACACCGCCAAGGCTCTGTGCCACGTGCAAGAACGCAGCTGCGGCAATGGAGGTTCAACGTGGAACTCGTGGAAATCCCACAAGCCAGATCATCTGCCACATCAGCATGTAACGTTGCGTGATCAAGCACCTCTAGTCCCCACGTGTACGCTAAGCATTGGAATGTAGGAAGACAACCACCGTATCCACCTCACACCACGCGGCCCCAAATGTGATTTGGTTTCTCTTAGTGCAGTTTGTCTAAAATACTCCATGGACATTACTGCAATAGACTCGCCAAACAGAGTTGTCTCGTACCTACAGTTGCAATTTGTGTTGAGATCTCAGCTGATTGCAAGACATAGGTTCAAGTGAGGTCAGCATATGAGATACAACCAATTACTGCCTCAACATATGGTGAGGTTGCTTCCCACTAAGTGCCCTCTTTGGGTGACTCTTCCCCTCTCAGCAGCTTAGAACAGGACGTAGGGATTGACTGAATTATTTTTTTTAGTTTGTTGTGGACCCCATGTGATCCATATAGTTTGAGATTTCCACTATCTAAGCTCCCTATTTCATAAATCTTATATTCTTGAAATACCCCTCTGAATCCAGGCAGTCTCAAAGTTCCCTGTTGAAGTCCGAGTTGACCGAGGAGACTTTACTGCGTTCGTGAGGAACCTATTTCCGGAGAATCTGATGTGTGATTTCAGTATATCTGTCTCTGTTGCAAGTAGGGAGGAGCACTTTGGCAAGATCTGTTTCCAGGTCTTTGAGATGTCCCTCCAAACCTCGATTGCGACCTTTCTTTCTACGAAGGATTCTGTAAATATGCAGACTCACTCATCCTCTGTTCTTGAAAGACATCATTCCTTACTAAGTATAGCTTCTGCTAACTCTATCCAAAGGTGATCCCTGTAAAAGTGTAGCCTGTGAGAGCCTTTATCAGCCGATGAGCAAAGATGGCTGTGATTTGGGTTTCAAGGTCTCGAATACCAAGTCCACCTGCTGTTCTGGAGGTAGTAATCCTCCATCCAAGAAACCTGTTGTTTTTC